CCCAAGCCTTCTGTTCTGCCTTAGTTTTTCAAGTCATGCATTAGCTGACTATAACTGGGCTGATTGACTGTTGTCACGGACATGCCATTCAATCATGCCAATGATTTCAAACTTCTTGCTGCAAGGCACTCCTCCACTGTGTTGCGAAAGCTCTTTAAAATCCACGCTGTGGGGTCAGTGATATCTGACAAATCCGCTGCTAAACTGCTAGACTGTGTGGATTGCAGGTCTTCAAACCAACTTCAAAACTGCAAGAGAGAATCATGCCAGGGGTGCGCGCGGATTTTTGGCTGCTCAAAAAGTCGATGATGTCCTGGTACTTCTGTGGCAGGACTATTCGCAACATGCCAAGAGCTTGCACTGCAGGCCTTGCCACCAAAAAACAAAAATTGTTGACATGTGAAATTTCTGATGATATTTGATGTGCACATCTGATTCTGGAAAACATCTGATGATGATAATTTTGGAAAACATCTGACGACTAAGAAGGGCTGCCTGGCCAGATCTCGGTCGCGTACCAACTGCTGGCCTTTCTCATCCAAACTCTCGAAGGCCACACTAGTAGACATCTTGGGGCACACCCAACAAATTTCAATTGTTTTATAACAAGTCAGTTTGCCAATAATTGCATCTTGAGCCATAAGGTCAATGACCAAGGAACAGTCAACACTTGGCAGAGTTTATTGTCAATGACCGGCAGTGGAGCCACGGTTGCAAGACTGTCAATGACCGGCACTCGTATTTTAGACACTGGCGGTTCTTCAGCACGTCACTGACTTGATCTGATGAAACATGATGCTACGACATCCCTCTGCAAAGCCTGCAGCGTGTGATTTTAAAAACTCCAGCACCCAACAGGTTTGAAACACCAATAATACCGTTGACATTGACACTGACACTGACATCTTTACCCAGATCAAGCCAGATAAAGCCGAGTCTCTGTCAGTCCATTGAAGTGATCGCAGAAATGTCCATGCATACGCAATTCGTCAAGTACTTGTTCCATCGAGTCTCATACAACCGGTGATGACCCTGACGCCAAAAGGTAGCTGCAAAGCGCAACTGCCTGGCCATGGGCAAAGCCAGCAAGATCCGCTTCGTGTTCACTGAGGTGTCAGGGACCTCGTCGAAGACCTCCTTCCTGGAAAAGAAACATGGTGATTGACATGAGATCAAGAGATGCAGACATTAAGAGCCAGTCAAACAATTTCAGCTCAGGGTCAGAATCGTTTCAAGTAGTCGATGCTGCGATGCAGATTCCATCCAGTCCAAAGGCACAGGAGCTACAGGTGGAGGCAGTGGCTGCAGCGGCATCATCACTCGCTGTGGTGGAGGGAAAGGAGGGGGTTGAGGCCTCCGCCTGCTCTGCTGAAACATGCAGCTCGCAGTCACTGACACAAATCTGAAAAATACAATTCAATCATCAATGAAATTGACATGAATTGTGGCAAGGAACGGTCCAAAAGGAAATGGAAAACAGCCAGTCCCCTTCCAAAAGTTTGTGATGGTCTTCAGCTGGATCTTGGGCCACTGCTCTGCTTGGATGCCCATGCGGCTGAGGGCATTGCGTCGGATGTATTCCCTGTCACATTATCAAGTTGAAGTTCAGATTCAACACACTTAAAGGAACTAAATTAAACCAATGCCTTGAATGTCTGGCACTGACAACACAACTCAATGACTGATTGCGCTGCGTACCTCTTGGCAGCACAAGTTTCGGCAAGCCAGCATTGCAAGTCGGTGCAGTCCTGCTGCCAGTTCCAGCAGCCGCTCAAGCTGAAGATGAAGACGCAGTGCTCGATGCCAAATACCTCAATTGGCAGTGTCAATGACCGATGTCCCTGATTGGATGGAACCAATGGTTAAACATTGAAAATGCCCCAGATCAAGCAAAGGTGCAAACAACACACAGGACAAAAGCGCCAGGAAAGCACTTGTCCTGTGGAAGCCTGCCTTGCAGTTCAATGCAATCACAGCCGCCGGTGTTTGAAGAAGTCGTTGTAGAATCCCCAGGCCCCTTGAGTTGGAAAACACCTGAGATGAAAGCACATGCCTGTCACTCACGCCATTCACACTTGAACTGATGACAAATGAATCATCCAGGGCCAGGCACTGACTGCTGGATGACACTGCGCAGTCCGCTGAGATGCTTCTCCGTTGGCCTCAGTGTTACCGACTCAGATTCCTCAACTTCAGTGGCTGCAATTTGACATGACGACTGACTGATTAAGTGACTTCAAGGGACATCTCGACCATCGGGTCTTTGGGCAAAAGAGTAGCAAGATTGTGAAACTGCATCTCCGCATCAATGCAGTCTGACAAGGCTTCGACCGGGTTGAAGACCGACTGCCATCTCCCAGCTACCTTCATCCAGAATCCCTTGTAGCCCTGGTCAGCTCTCAAGTCTGCGGCCCATCCAACTAGAGCAACTCGATCAGGCCATCGGGAAGCAACTCCTTGCACGTTCTGGGCCACCTGACAGACGGACTGACAGAAATTGGGTTCATCCCGACAAAGAATTGTATTCAAGTCCAACCGCTGATCAAAACCCGTTGCCGCCTCATTTCTCAATTGCATCACATTGCGGCCAAAATGGGCCACACACTCATCGTCGCTTTCTTGTTGATCGGCAATCTGTTGCCGGCGACGCTTGGCATTGGGTGCCATTGCAGTGCGACTTTGACATGCACAGCTGGCCCTCATGTCATTGACTTTGACTGTTTGACAGTTTCATGTTTTAAGTTTAAACTGTGACTTGACTGTCATGTTAATAAATGATTTCTTGAAATGCCGATTCCTGATGACTATGTCTGACACTGACTGCCAAATAATCAGACACTGACTGCCACAAAAGACTTCAAAACCAAATGGCCGGAGAGCAACAGTGCGAGTGACACTGACAAAACTTGAAGTGTAAGTGACACTGACATACACTGACAAAACTTGAAGTGACACTGACGATTGAACTTGCAATGGTCAATTGCAAAAGGCTGAGACCATGACACTGTCTGCCGAAGTGCCACTGCCTCGGCGCAAAATGTATTTGAGCATAGGGGGCCATGGCAAATTTGAATGATCAAATCAAATTCAATTAAGCACAACATCTGATTTTGAGGCAGTTCCTTGGCTGAGCGACTGACCGACATGATTGAAGAGGTCAATCGATCGATCGTTGTTGACCTGCACCGTGCATGAAGGTGACAAACCAAGAACGGCATGAGAATTGCAGAGCCCAAGCCTGAAACTGACTTTGCTCATTGCAAACAGCACCTGACACAGTTCACAGACACACACACACACATGCATTTGTTTGATTCATCCGTGTTTGTCAATGTCAATGACAGCATGATTGAAGAATAGCGCGGTCAGACCTTGGTTCAAGCTCGTCACTGACTGGACGTCATGGAGAACGCACATCACCATCTCAATCGCCCATCTAATCCTGGAGACAAGTGCAAGTGTCAATGACAATGGAATGAAGACAGTCAATGACAAGAAGGTTTGTCAAGCCAGTCAATGACAAATGCGACGACAACCGCAAACTGAGGCTCAAGCCTTTGGCTGTCCTTCAGGTTCTCACCTGGTGATGGATCAGAAGAAACAAGAAGAAATCCAGTCATGCCACACCAATTAAAACCTTCATGCTTTGATGTAAGCCCATCACATGTGTTGCCGTTGCCCGCAGCCTCCTTCTGACAAACTAATTTGACTGACATTGGCCAGATGTACTGTCTGTCATGTTGGTCATGTTGGTCCTGGTTCGTCATGCCATGTAGCAGCGCGTGATTTTCCTGGAAAAGAACGATGCACAACTCAAGTCAAGAAACAAGAGCACATCAAATCACAAGTCACACAGTCGCCTCCAACTCAGTTAAAGGACAACCAACCATGTCGGCCACCAAAGGAAGCACCATTTCTTAGTCAGCAAGCACTCAACAACACTGTTTTCCCAAAAGCTGTCCAACACTTTGACATTGATGTCTGAGCAGCAAACCGAGGCAAATTGGAGGAATTTCCATCCTGGAGATTAAATCCAACCCGCCATATCCACAACACCCAAAAGCAGCAGAAATGAAGCCAGTCCTTCAATGAGGCAGAAGGCAATCAGCTTGAACAGGTTGAGCAAAGATGGCTTCCACTCAGCGGGCGTGCCCTCACCAAATATAGTTGTCAATGACATTTTAATCAGTCCAGTCTGTCAATGACAAACACAAAACAAATAATCTTATAAGAACAGGGGGGATTAGTGCGATCTCCGGGTGGTAGGAAAATTAAACCAGGACAATTTAACTAACTTAATCTATCCGTACCGGAACCCTATCATCTCTCGATTATTTCCTTATTATGTCCCTATTATTTCCCTATCTTGTGGCCAGTAACCATAAGCACCTGCTGCCCCTTTTGTTTAGGCTGAGACTGACATTATCAGTAATAATCGATGGGGTAATGCCTTACTTCTAGCAAGGTTGTTTACCTGTCGTCAGCTTCCATCTTATCAAAAGGACCTCTGAGCTCACTCTCTGTGCCAATGCTAGTGAGCCGCGTGGTAGAAAAAGTGAACAAGGACAATGATAGACTTAGACTTAGACCTTAGACTTAACATATTTTTTTTGAAATAATGCCAGCAAATAAAACAAATTGCTTAATGGACGGCCAGAATTTCTAGTGGTACAGTATAAACCATCCCCGTCATGGTAGGTTTATGGCATCCAAGGTTTCCCACATTTGTGATAATTTAACTGTTCTATCTTTTTTTCCGGTTCTGCAAAGTGACCCTGTTGAGGTGGTTAAGTGAGCCTTTTGGGGGTTAAGTGACCTCGAATTGGTGGTTTTATCAAGGTCACTTTGAAAAACCAGCTTGGATGACTACAATAATGTTAGTAATATTAGTAAAGCAATACGAAACCTCCCATTTTTGGGTAAGTCTGGGGATGTCTATTGTATCTTTTTGGGGATGGCTATAACTATTTTGTTCAACGACAAGGTGCAGAAAACGCCAGGCGGCGAGTGGAACGGGCAGAACGGACCTTCTTCGGCCCGGGGCACGAGAAGCCCTTCACTGCCGCCCATCGAACAGGTGGAGAAGTGGCGCTGGGACCCTGGGAACACCTAATTTACCGGGATATCATGTGGATATCATGGGGATATATTGTATATATATATATATTATATACATGGGGATATAGTTAATTAATGAGATGAACCATTTGGTAATTTGTTATCGTTTGCTATGGAAAATCACAAGTTTTGATAAGTAAATCAACCATAAATGGCAATGTTCAAAAACTATGTTAATTTACCAGAGGGTAGTTAGCCAATGTTTTGCTATGAATGTCCATAAATGAAGGGATATAGCATCTAAGTCCCGAGAAAATCCAAGATTGAACATGTTTGGAATAGACACGATTCAGTGGTGAGATAAAGCCGGTGAAATTGCAGTGTAAAGTCCTTTTCAGGAAGCGAGTAAAGATCAACCAGCACACAGCAATCAACGAGCTCGGTAATAAATGGTGATATTGTTCTTTCTATTGATTCCTGGCTCAGCAGCTTGTTTTGTGGGAGGTTTCTCGAAATGGGGAAGCTCCAAGTCACCATGGGTTTCAATACTAAAAATGGTCATCCATGACTGGATGATTTGGGGGTATCCGCACTGCCAGGAGCTCCGTTGTTGCAACTTTGCCGGCCATCCGGTCTTCTGCTGTCGCGGTGCTGCGGCCAGCGAGCACCAGGTAAGGAGTGACCAACCTCGGTTGTCTTGGTTGACAATGGCCATTGCAGATTGTGAATATGTTCCTAGATGTTCCTAGATGGTTGGATTAATATTAATATAGACGTTCATGATTGTGCTAGTGTATCTCTCCACCTGGAGAGTGTTAATTTAACTATATGTAACTCCCTTCCGCATCATAGTTTGAGCCTCGAGTCTGATTCCTGTGGATATGATCAGGGTCAAGGTATGTAACAGCTACCCTTGGAGTCGCTGGCGTGACCTCCATGCTAAAAACCCTTCCCTGAGAACATCCAGCTTGACTATTTGGCTTTATGATGGCAACGGGAATCGCCAAACAATAACCTGTACTCAGGTTTAGGAGGTCTCTCAATTTATATATATATATATACAGTCACAATCACCAATATTATATAACATTAATATGAACTACATTTGACTACTACATACAAATGCGTGGCAAAACTCGGTCCCCCAAATGGTATGTTTGCGACATTGGTTTACCACATTGATTATGTTTTGCAAGCCTCCACATGGGTTTGTCTGAACGTCGGGTACCGCAAACTTTGATGGTCCATTATTCATGGAATGTCTCATTCTTGATGATTAATAAGCCAATGGTTGAATCCCAGCGTTCATGGCAGAATTTCGATTGGATTCTCAGCCAAAAATAAGAAAGTTTCAGGTGAATCAACCTTTTTCACCATTTTTCAATATTAGAAGTTGGTTTCCAAAAACGATTCCCAACAAGGTGCAGTCATAAGTTGGTTTATAATGGTTTATAATGATATATCTACAGTCGATTCCCCATATATTCCCGTATATTCCCCACTAGGTTAACTATGGCTTATGGATGTTCATGGTAGATATATATCATAATATATCTAATTCCCCTCATATCCCATATATTCCACCATTTTTTCTTGGCGAAACACACATTTTTGATGGGTGAACTCCTTCCCCCAGGCCGTGCGCCGTCACCTGGTGCGCCTGCAGCGTGACGCGCCGGACATGCAACGCCTGGGCTTCGGCAACGTGGTGGCGGGGCCGCCGCACGCCCCAGCGACCCGCCCCAGCGACCCGCCAGGATGATGGGTCAAACAATGCCATGTTTACCACCCTTTTTTGGGAATGGTAAGTAACCATAGCACCTATCAATTTTTTTGGGGGATGGTGCCATTGGCATTGTTTCAAGCACATTATTGGAGATAATGATCAGTTTAAACATATTCATACAATGTTTTTGACTTTGGCACATGTGATTCCAGTGGGTTCTCTACGAGGACCATCTAACCATCTCCAAGTCTCCCAAGGTCTGATGGCTCTTTGGCTCATCCACCTGGGTGCCCCCAACCCCAACCCCAACAAGTTGTTATCTTTGTTGGCGCCACCAAACCATCAAACTATACATATATATTACATATATATATATGTATATATTTTATTTATATATATATACAGTTCATTGTAATATTGTATATATATATATTTATGTCAGATATTTCATATTATCTACCTTAAAGATCCTTAAAGAAACAAACTAGCTAAGCTATAGTTATATACACCAACTTAGCAATTCACCGGGGCACCTCAGGTGCTGATCATCAGCTGGATCCGCGCTGGAGCGCTAGCGTCCTGGAACGCCACTGCGCCCGAAGGCATGGCGGTCCCCGTGCAGTCGGCCATCGTCTCTCGGCGTGGGACACGGCAGGATTCTGTGGGAATACTGTACTGTAGATGACATGGGATTATTTTTATATGAAATAAATTTGTAATATATGTGTTGGGAGGTTTGTGGAGATATTTGAGTATGATATGGGATGATGATGGGATGATATTTCAATTGGCTCTAGTTTAGTAGGGGATAATTAATGGCACATTTTTGGGGGGACCGTAAAATAGGGGTTTAAAGATTCCACAACAACACAGCGGGTGGCCAACGAGGTCTCCGTCAATGGGGTCTCCGGCAACGTGCAGAAGATGCGAGAAGAGCTACGAAGCCAGGACAGGCGGACTCGTGGTTGTTAAGCCATCTATATAACCCATTTACCCTCTGGTCAATTAACATAGACCCTGGCAGATAGAGGTTGGAAGATTAGTTTCCATTAGTTTCCATTATATAAAACTATGCTATACCGGCTATTTTCATCTATTTTCGGGGTCTATGTTAATTTACCAGGGGGTACATTGGGAAACACTTGGGTCATATTGGTGATATATCAACCATCATAGGGATATAATGGGGATTTGATGAAATATACCCTCTGGTAAACTAACATAGCGAACTGGAAAATCATACAACTAAATGGGTCATTTTCAATAGCTATGTTAAATTACCAGAGGGTAACCCATTTGTCATCCTGTCAGTGGGCATATTCCATCTATATAATGTGGTTAAAACAATAATAACATATAAAAAACCACCCATTTGGGAATGGTAACCATACAACCTATTTATGGTGATTTGGGGGATGGTTTATTATTGTTTTACCCACATTATAGCTCGATATATTCAATTGTTTTTTGTTTCTCATCCCTTTACTAAGTGGGATGCACCCCCAAGCATGGATTATTCGGTCATAAACCAAGTCCGAATTGGCAATCCCCAAAACTCAACGGGCATTTAAATGGGAAAATCATCCATAAATAATAAATGGTTGATTTTTCATGGGTTGCCCTTTGGTAAGCAAACATGGGTGGCTGGGAAATCCTATACACATTGGGTCTTAAGAGGAAACTACTCGAACTAAATGGGGGATTTTCCTGCAAACCATGTTTAAGTCCCGGATGGTATTTGGTCGCGAAGCAAAATTGGGCAACTCAACATGGCTTGCGGGGAAGCCCCCGAACTACATGAGCATCTATATGGGGGAAAATCCTCATCACCAGAGGGTACCATTGAGGGAACTTAAGCTGGCAATTGGACCTCCCCAAGTGTTAAAACCCTTTATAGGTGCAAACTAAAAACAATCTGTAGATTGACAATGTAGTCGGTTACCTTCCGTTAGTTTGCTAGAGGGTTTTGTATAGCATTTTTTTTGGATGTATATTTCATACCCACCCCACCCTTGAAAAAATAAGTCTTGAAGGGGCATCCAAGGCCAATGGTGTATCTCTTGGGATCGGATGTTCCCCTGTTCAGCCAGACTCTCCTTCTGATATTCTACAGTCGCCCATCATAGGTATGATCAATCACCATAACCCCAACCGCTAACCCTGTCAGTTGGTTGATATCAACACATTTTGAGCTACAGTTATAGTATACTGTATCCATTTACAAGGTGGTCCCCCCCAGTTATAAATGGGTGATAGTCCCATTAACTATAGATATAACACGTATAAACCATAGTTAATGTTGGGTCCTGATTAGTACCTAGGGTCGCTATTGTGGCAAATTTTTTCCAAATTATTCTGAAACTCATGTATTGTTTGGAGGGTTCGCTTTTGTGGCAAAACAAAATTGGGAGAGCCCTTTTTTTTGCAAAAAAAACTGTAATTGCTGAGACGCATTTTTTTCTCAAAAACGCTGTAGCTCAGTCAAGGTAGGTTTGTTTGCTGGGTTCACTATTGCAGCAAGCTGTGCCAGAGCAGCTCCTGGAAGCCTAGAAGGGAAGCAAGCCCTTGCCAAAATTGCCAAATTCAAACCCCAAGCCTTTCCCAAAAGAACCAATCCCTTATTAAACCCTTATTAAAGAACAGCTTTTCCACAATTTTCCAAGGCCCTGGACCAGGAGAGGCTCCATTTCACTTTAGTAGGTTTGTTTGCTGGGTTCACTATTGCAGCAAGCTGTGCCAGAGCAGCCCCTGGAAGCCCAGAAGGGAAGCAAGCCTTTTCCAAAAGCAATTGCCAAATTCAAACTCCAAGCCTTTCCCAAAGGAGCCAATCCCTTATTAAACCCTTATTAAAGAACAGCTTTTCCACAATTTTCCAAGGCCCTGGGCCAGGAGAGGCTCCATTTCACTTTAGTAGGTTTGTTTGCTGGGTTCACTATTGCAGCAAGCTGTGCCAGAGCAGCCCCTGGAAGCCCAGAAGGGAAGCAAGCCTTTTCCAAAAGCAATTGCCAAATTCAAACTCCAAGCCTTTCCCAAAAGAACAAATCCCTTATTAAACCCTTATTAAAGAACAGCTTTTCCACAATTTTCCAAGGCCCTGGACCAGGAGAGGCTCCATTTCACTTTAGTAGGTTTGTTTGCTGGGTTCACTATTGCAGCAAGCTGTGCCAGAGCAGCCCCTGGAAGCCCAGAAGGGAAGCAAGCCTTTTCCAAAGGCAATTGCCAAATTCAAACTCCAAGCCTTTCCCAAAAGAACCAATCCCTTATTAAACCCTTATTAAAGAACAGCTTTTCCACAATTTTCCAAGGCCCTGGACCAGGAGAGGCTCCATTTCACTTTAGTAGGTTTGTTTGCTGGGTTCACTATTGCAGCAAGCTGTGCCAGAGCAGCCCCTGGAAGCCCAGAAGGGAAGCAAGCCTTTTCCAAAATTGCCAAATTCAAACTCCAAGCCTTTCCCAAAAGAACCAATCCCTTATTAAACCCTTATTAAAGAACAGCTTTTCCACAATTTTCCAAGGCCCTGGACCAGGAGAGGCTCCATTTCACTTTAGTAGGTTTGTTTGCTGGGTTCACTATTGCAGCAAGCTGTGCCAGAGCAGCCCCTGGAAGCCCAGAAGGGAAGCAAGCCTTTTCCAAAATTGCCAAATTCAAACTCCAAGCCTTTCCCAAAGGAGCCAATCCCTTATTAAACCCTTATTAAAGAACAGCTTTTCCACAATTTTCCAAGGCCCTGGACCAGGAGAGGCTCCATTTCACTTTAGTAGGTTTGTTTGCTGGGTTCACTATTGCAGCAAGCTGTGCCAGAGCAGCCCCTGGAAGCCCAGAAGGGAAGCAAGCCTTTTCCAAAGGCAATTGCCAAATTCAAACTCCAAGCCTTTCCCAAAGGAGCCAATCCCTTATTAAACCCTTATTAAAGAACAGCTTTTCCACAATTTTCCAAGGCCCTGGACCAGGAGAGGCTCCATTTCACTTTAGTAGGTTTGTTTGCTGGGTTCACTATTGCAGCAAGCTGTGCCAGAGCAGCCCCTGGAAGCCCAGAAGGGAAGCAAGCCTTTTCCAAAATTGCCAAATTCAAACTCCAAGCCTTTCCCAAAGTATTAACCCTTATTAAAGAACAGCTTTTCCACTAGTACTACAAGTACTACAAGTACAAGTACTACAAGTACTACAAGTACTACAAGTACTACAAGGACTACAAGTACTACAAGTACTACAAGTACTACAAGTACTACAAGTACCACAAGTACCACAAGTACTACAAGTACTACAAGTACTACAAGTACTACAAGTACTACAAGTACTACAAGTACTACAAGTACTACAAGTACTACAAGTACTACAAGTACTACAAGTACTACAAGTACTACAAGTACTACAAGTACTACAAGTACTACAAGTACTACAAGTACTACAAGTACTACAAGTACTACAAGTACTACAAGTACTACAAGTACTACAAGTACTACAAGTACTACAAGTACTACAAGTACTGCAAGTACTACAAGTACTACAACTACAAGTACTACAAGTACTACAAGTACTACAAGTACTACAAGTACTACAAGTACTACAAGTACTACAAGTACTACAAGTACTACAAGTACTACAAGTACTACAAGTACTACATGTACTACAAGTACTACAAGTACTACAAGTACTACAAATACCACAACTTCATCGGCAAAAAAAACAATCTTAATTAGATTTCGATTGTAGCCAATTGAAATTCTTACTTAATCGAGGATATGTTTTTCTTTTGGGAAGATTTTTTTTGCTTTTCTACTTTAAAGAGAGTCCAGAAATAGTTTAGGGGAGGGGGGGGGGGCACACACTAATCAGGAACCAACATTATTGGACTTATAAACCCACTTAGCTAACTATGGGGCACCACCTTGTAGGTTCATCACCTTGAAACCCTAATAAAGTGAACCCATCTTCATGCCCACTTAGTTAACAAGCTGCCGCCCAGGAGGTGGAGTTGGAGGTACTGGCGCCCGAACGCTGGCGATACGCACAGGTCTCGTTCCGAGTCGTTCCGAGGGCCGGCCCTCGGGGCCGTTTGGGGCGCTGGATTGAAATATAATGGGATATATTATGATTATAATGATTATAATGGGATGAATCACCATATTTCAAAATAATAATGGGATTATCTGATTCATCCCATAATCATTGTCACACACATATACGTAATATATATGTATGTATGTGTGTGTGTGCATATTATCATATGCTATCATTATCAATTTTGCTTTTGAAATAAGTAGAATAGAAGCCAGCAAATTGTGAATTGATCGTGACCGACAATGACAATGGCGATACAACGTCAATGAATTGGATACTGATTGGATACTGAACGCAATGAATATAACCAACCAATATAGTATGGCATGGGTCCCAGTGTGAAATTGTGGGAAACCCAAGTCCAACGGTTTTGCTATCAACATATTTAACCTGGCAACACATTGCGGGTATACCCCCCATTTTCAGACAGACCCAAATGATTCAAAGCTCAGTGATGCCCAGAGCGTTTAACCAATGCTTTGCCCATGTGCCTGGGAGCGAAGCAGAACACAAAATAGATCAAAATAGCACACATATCCTATGATATCCGTTGGATTCCGGTAATCAAACATGGCTGGTTTGAAACCCCCGAACGAAACATGGAGGTTTAAACCTCGCTGGGAAAATTATCGAAGTAAATGGGGGCATTGTCGAGGCCATGCTCGGTTGAACCGTAGGTTTTTCAGGATGGTCAAGGTTTAAAACCCCGAAATCGGATGCTTAATGACCTGATATCAAAGTACTATAATCGATTGGTTCATGGGAACACTTTGTCCATGGGATGGTTCATGGGAGGATGATCACTTTGTCCAGCTGTTTTTTTTTTTTCGGCCAGGATTTGGAGCCCATATCAGTGAATCATTTGTCCTTTACTTCCCATCTTGATCTTACTGGTGCTTAGCAGGGAATGAGGGAATGATCCACAATAACTATCAACCATAATCCCATTCCCCCATTCCCATCCATTCCCTGCTAAGCACCAGTAAGTGATTGATGAAGCAACCTCAACGGCCAACCCAACCCAACCTGTGTCATCCCAACCAATTTTTGCCGTTAGGTGACGAGATCGGCGTGAGGTTTCCATGAGATTTCCCTCAGTTGGAATGGCAGGGTGAAACGGCCCTGGAACTGGGATACCTTGATTCAGATTCAGTTCCTTGCGCGTCATTGTTCTGAAGCGGCCAGAGGATAGATCATCAATATCAATAGCATCAAACACTAGCGGTTGGTCATGCTTGGCATGGAATTGTCAAACTTCTGGATTAGGAGAGTTTGTGGGTGGTTTCAAATTGTCAACGCTTCTTTCATCCTATCTGGGATGGCTGGGCCCGTTCGACCAATCTTTTGGGGACGAGTTGAAACCACCGAGCGAAACCGAATTGATGTGTTTCTTGCACGGCTGGTGTGAACAGCGCGCCGGCAAGCAACGTTATGTTCCTTGATGTATGTCCTTGTAGGCAAAGAAGCGCGCTGCATGATGTTTTTTCGTGGCATGCTTACAGTATCTTACAGGTATCTACATATGTTTTTTTTTATAATGTCCATATGAAATATCCACATATATCCACATTATGTACCGTTATATATAAATATGATATTATATGCTAAATGTTCAATGTTTGTCTATTGACTTGGCTTCTGCCACCATGCAACTTGCAGAACTTGCCACGTGTCGAGGAGTTGGAAAAAGATCCAGAGTTTGCTCCAGCTGGTACCCAGCTCCTTGGTGGGATGGGTAACTCTCCGATGATGGGAACATTTACAGGATAATTTGTGTTTTTCTTAAAACGTTTTTGGCATCAAAACATTTTGTTTGGGTGGATGATTGATGTGGATATACAATACATGAATTTTGGGTGGATGTTCATGTTAGACTTAGACCAACCCATTGAATGCTACTGCTGAAATCCTTGCTTCTTGGCACTGAAATTCGCAGCTGGACCTCCCAAAAGCCATTCTTTTCGGGTTTTGGCACTTTCGGAGCCAGGTGGTCAGTTCCCACGCGTTGAATTTGGCTGATGGAACCACAATATTTGCACACAAAGGTGCCAGAAATGCACAGAAGATACGTGTGTACCTCCAACAAATTTCAGTTGGTTGATAGCAGAAGGCCGGGTAGAGCCATGGCCTTTCAATGCTTCGTTTATGGCTAATGTCCACCCCGGATGAGACTAGATCCTGGTTGTTAGGATGTCCTCGCCCCCAATTTTCTCATTTTCCACTAAAATGAAACCACCCAGTTATTAACCATCCAGGCCAGGGTTCACATAAAAGTCGCATTTCAATGACTGGATTGGCAGTCGCCCTGGCCCCCCTGGGCCCAGGCCACAGAATATGGAGCTGGTGATTGGTTGGAACGGGCAGCAACATCGGCCCAGCCAATCAGAGGCGCCCGGCTGTCACGGAACGTGATGCTAATATATGCTAATGGCTTGGTGCTTGGCTGAAATAAAAGAAGAAACGCTTCCAGATGTCATGTCCTGTTTTTTCTCCTTCTGCGCATACTGGTAATTACTCTACAACTATATACTACCACATACTATATAGATCGATATAGCGTATATATAATATGATGGCTCCATTACAATATCATCACCGAATCATCGTCTGAACATGTCTTCCATGGTTCATTTCTGGCAGCGGTTGGTGGACGGTTCCTGGGATGCAGATGGGGGGGCCAGTTGGAAGTCGATTCAGACATTCTTAGGTTTCCCAACCATATCATAGATTATGATAAAACATGATAAAACATGATAAAACAATATAACGCAATATAACTTATATCCATATTTATATATATATATCCATTTATATCCCTAATGTTCCCCCCTGATATAACCCATTAATTCCACATTGACAGTTACTATCAGCTAAATTTGAGATCTCCGGCTGATCGTCCCTGCAGCAGCCCCCTCGGCCAAGGGTTTCAGGGATGAAACTCGTGTTTTTGAAGGGTTATGGGATGTTATGGATTAACACTCACACTACACATCATAAAACTCTGATATTGGAGGTGAAGCTGGGATGGGATGAAGATGGATGAAGGGTTTTTGATCATTTCAATTTCGAGTTCCAAGATCTCTGACATATCTTCACCCCTTTCCAGGCCTCCCCATCTTCCATCTCCCGTCTTCCCCTGCAAGGTCGTGCCCCAATAGTTAGCTAAGTTGATTTGTACTGTACTCCAAGAACTACGGTAATCACTTGTTCATGACAGATACAACTCTATAGTTTGTGGGGATTATAAACTAACTCAGATACCCTTTGGTAAACTAAAGTAGCAAAGGAAAATCACCTTTTTGAACAGGTAAATCAACTTTGAATGACAGTTTTAACTATGTTGAATTACCCTCTCTATTTACACGTTCTATTATGTTTCCAGGAAATTATTGTTATCTCACTGTGACCGTTACCGAACCCCGGAATCATTGGTGAATGTATCGGGGAATCATCCCAAAATAATTCATCAAAATAGACGTATTTCAGCTTATTGAATGATATTTTGATTTACCCAGATATACCTGAAATACATGAAATATAAGGCTGTTTTGAACCTGAAATTCTTTATCTCTCTAGATCTTTGAGTTTTGAACCCGAGCTTCGGCAAGCCGGACTTGCCGTACCTCGCAGGCTCCCAGCTTTCCGCAGATGGCCGGACTCATCAGCGCAGCAGAGATGATGTTGAAGGCAGTGGTGGGCTGGAAAAGTCCCATGAAAAATGGTGGGTTTAATGGTAAGACCATTGGAACATATGGGAAAATATAGAGAAAATATAGGGGAGAATCCACTATAAATTCAAGTTTTAAGAGGCAACACGTGTATAAATGGAGGTTTCTAGCTGGGAAAGAACTAAATGTTGGATTTCCTATGCTTGATTACTCGAGGGTATTCACATTCCCTATCAACAAAAAGGTGGGAGTGGGGGGGGGGGGCAGTGGAGTTTCCCAACCACATGATAGTAAACATGGAAGCATCAATATGAAATCATATGAACACCATTGAACACCATAAGAATGATCGCGAACCCATATGATTTTCAAACATGATAACGACCGAACCCTGCAACGTCACTGGAATGATGGTTCGGTACAGGGTAACTAGTGCAAACGGGATGAACTTTTCGGGTCTGGTGAATTGTTATATATTATCCAGATATATTTCAGAATTTCAGAAACTAATATCACAATCTTCTATACTTCAGAGTTCACTTAGATTCTAAACAAGAAGCGCTTTTGTTTCTCGAACATCTCCCCAGAATCCATTCTATTCACCCTGGAAACTTGCTTGACATGCAATTGGACCCGGGGCTGAGGACCACACCGGCTAAGTCTAAGTTTACTTTTTTTTTGAAATGATATGGGATTATATGAGAATGGCATAGGATGGTGAACAAACAATATCTGGAAGCCGCTCATAGATTTTGGACATTGTTATGCAACAGAATGGTTACAATAATTACGAAATCTAATTTGCACATTGTAGCGAAATTAGTAAGATAGATACCATACTTAGATGATGTGATGATGTAAGACGCGCCTAGTGGTTGATGAAGAGGTACCATCATCAACTTCTCAATCAGATTGGTACAGCAGGCCGCTTTGCGAAGGATTGATGTCCCAGAAGTGGTTGAAGTCAGAGTTTGCACGAAGATACCTCTTGTTTGGCTATTTTGCAACACACACACATATATATATATACATATTAATACACATATACACACATGTATATATATATATATCGAGTAGCCTCCAAAACGATAGAACACTAATGCAATGTGTTATTATTTTAGTGGGATTTTACATTTCTATCCTTTTGCGGCTTGCTATAAGTTAAGTCATGTCGTCACCTGCCAATGTGTTCTTCAAACATTGCGTGGCTTCTAGGAGTATTTTTGCTGCACAACTTTCAACAGCCATGCAGCCATTTGGCTGACGGGTGACAGCGTCGTATTGCAATGCATGAGAACCTTCGAGCTGCACAAACGCACTTTGGATAGCAAAGAAGTTGCATGCTGGGGACCTTTCAGTAACGAACCGTTTGACATTGTTTAGGATCATTTTGAGACGGTGTTTGTGCAACAAACCTATGATTCATCATTATTTCCCTAGTGCAATGGCCAGCCATTGGGGGATCCACTTCTGGAGAAACCCACATGTTGAATCATGTTGAGACATGTTCACCTGAGATGTCAACTTGGACCTGAAGCCGATGAGCTCCATATCTTGGGGAGAGGAATTTCCGTTTGCCAGCTATTTTCGGGTTCACCAGGGTACCAGGGTTTTGACATATTCCCAATTATCGATCATATTCTTCAATATGCAGGGTATTTCAGGCTGACGAAACTCCAGACCGCAAACTCCAGACCGCAAACTATCCAAGGGCATAACCCCATCGAATCAAAGACGGTATACTAATTCTTCTATAGTTCTCTATGAGCATCAATTTGGCGATGTAAATCCGGCGATATGTGGTTGTACCCAGCTGCTACTTACTTCCAAGCTTTATCCATGTTGCAAATGGAGATTGTGCTGTTTTTTCTCACTACACCACGTCATATATGGGGCTATTAATGTGCGTTATATACATATACAATCATCAATCATATACACATATAATATATATATATACTTATATGTGGGCAATTGCTTACATAGAAAAAAAGGTAAATATTGCTGTGTCTTTTTTATTACCTGATTACGAATAAGGAAAATATGATTTTTAACATTCACACGGCAAAGGGTAAAAAGTGTGCATGGCAAAGCCAAACATTATCAACATTTCTTATACTTGAAGTATCTAAACCCAACAGTTAGGTATCTTTTTAGGTATCTTTTTAAAGTATCACTATATATTTGATAAATATCTGGCCTCAGATCGGCGGCCAACCCCGATCTAAGGTGGCCTCGTTGGCTCCTCGAGGCGCAGGCGATGCCGATGATAATCATCCCAGCAACCCCCAGCAACCCATCCAAATTCCCTACGAATTAAGCACCAGTAAGATGATCAGTTACAATATGTTCATAGATGTTTGAATTATATGAGTTATCACCGGTTAATCAATGTCATTATTTGATGATGTAGCGTATATGTTTTTTGAATTGAACATAATTTGACAATAACCATGGTGAAACATGAAACTGTATGAGTTTTCAAGGCACAATAGCGGACCGACATCCACGTGTTGGGGATTCTCGTCCCCATGGGAGGAATTTGGAGGAACCATGTCCCCATACGTCTGTCAGTCGTTCACATGGTGTCCCACCGTAGCACGTGCCTAACTCCTGGATGCTGGGATATGCTGGGTTTGAAACTCAATGCCATGTTGGAGTTTGGAATCCAAAACTACAGAGTGCTGCCCCCTCCCAGTTAGGTTAGACCAACTTAGCTGACTACAATGGAGGCACCATCCTGGAGATAGCATCCCACTTAGATCCACGATGATTCACCATGATTCACTATGTAGGAGTGGCTAAGCCCTCCAGGAATTCTGAAACTCGGCACCCGGCCAAGTTCCGCTGCATTGTCTGGTGGTTTCACGGGCGTCATTTTCCATCCTGAAATCCTTCCGTTTGAGCCACTTCAGTTGATGATCTTTGACCCATGACATCCCATGACATTCTGGCTGAAATGGCTGCAGCAATTTCAGGATCACAGCGGCTTTATTTATCTCCTTATCTCTTGGAAGTGTTTCTAGCCATGACGCTTGCACTGCAGACCACGCAATTCGAGGACGCTGGATAGCAGACAGATGCAGACAGTGTGATGGTGATATTGCTGAAGTGAGTTGATTTTAGATTTTCCAGCGGAAGCCTACTGGAAACCCCACTCCCCGGGCTCAGCGCTTCTTCCAACTCAGCCTGTTGTTCCCAACCGATAAGACTGGGTAAACCCTTGTGAAGGCAGGTTGTTTGAGTAGTGTATCTAAGGTTTGCCATGCACTCCGTGGGAGGTGGTTGTACTCCTCCTCTAACAGATGTTTTACTCCTCTAAAACAAAGACGTTTTGCGAAGTCGATTTTCGCCTCGAAGATGCTTTCCTCTTGTAATATGGTATGAATTTGTCAATGTTTGCACACACGCACACACACACAAGTGAATATTTACCCACATCTCAAATGATCATATATCCACCCTAGAATGCTGTACAGTATTGAAACGGATAGACTTGGGATATATAATTATATAGAGAAATATATATATATATAATATACATAAATACACATCAAAATATCACAATTATATTGCCACCGGAATTTGATTCTCACCTAAGGAACCTGTTGTTTTTTCGCATGTGTTTTTCTGAGAATCCCAACATCATCCTAGGCCAAGCTGAAGAAGGCCATGGAGCAGGTGAAACTCATCTTGGACTCCGAAAAATGCGCGCAACTGCCCTCAGCGGAGCATCATAGCTACGACGACAAGTTCAGCTTAGCCTCTGGGATGTCTGGGTGATTTGTGGCTGCGAAGGCTGGGGTTTTTACTGCGAAATGGTGAATGAGTTAAGTCAAGTGAGGCATTTTTGTCCATTAAGAACAGGATATTGTTGCAGGAACCAACAAATTGGACATTCCAGGAAAGATATACATGCACATTTGTCTAGATGATAGCTATATATAACTTCAATAGCTAGTGCATTGCAGCATCCCCCGAGGAAATCTCAGTTGCACGTTGGGTCATAGAGTGAGTCATCAAATACTGTAGTGACAGTAGCAGTGAAAGCCAAAGCAAGTTATTCCCAACACGTGGTGGTTAGCAAGGAGCTAAGGAGCTATGGCTTCTATATGGGTCCTATTCAGCAGGGGGCCGGTTGGACATTCAGCTATGCATTTCCCCACTGGTTGATCCCACAGTTGTGGAATCTACTGGTGGGAATCTACAGTGTATGTTTCATGGTTCCCCGTTCCCCTAAGCAAATCAAAGTCTTTCTCTGATGCCCAACAATGTCAATGGATTGGTTTCCAAAAAAAACTAGGAACACCTCAAACGGAAAAAAAAACACATGGTTTTTGCTCCAAAATGAACTGGTGGCGAAAAATCCCCCTGCAGATTTTCCCAGTTAAAGCTTTCTGCTGGGACACTGGGCATCTCAGGTTGAACGCTTCACTCATTTGACATTGGCATCGCAAGTGAACTCTTTAGGCTTCTTGGGCCTTGACAAGGCCTGGGTTGTGGGGGTCCACCCAGAGGATCCATTGGCAAACCATGGTTGTCCGAGATGCTTCCCCTTGAATTGGCAATGTGAGCATCGGAAAATGGTGGGTCCAAAATGTTAAACACATATTTGGCTGATGATTTTCGAGTGTTGACTTGGGATTGTCTGGGGACATGCCACCCCCCAAATCCCATAGCTTATCATTGTTTTTTACCATTTAAAGAGACATTTTGGGGTATCTCGTTTTCAAACACACCCTCATTATAATTCCCAATGTTCATCAATATTAAATCTATACTATATATAGGAATCTATAGAAATTGACCGCGAAATCCCAATGGTCCGTTTTACTGTTTTACTATATCCCCATTGAATCACCACTAAATCGATTCTATTTCAAACACCCACCTTGCATGGCCAGGAGAAGCTGAGACAAGCGAAGACCTGGGCAGAAACTTCGCAGGTTGGTCTCACTACATCGCTGGAATGATGGTTGGTGAATTGTTATCATTCAGCCGGATATCATGTTGTGTCATCAGCAAGGATGCTACATACCTACAAAATCCGTTAGGCATAATATTCTGCCTAGGACGCCCGTAGGCATTTATTTCTGCCTACTTCCAGGAAGAATGCCTAGGCTCAGAACGAAACGCCTAGGCTTCAAAGAATCTGCCTAGGGTCAGCTGGGTGATGTTTTGTTTTGTTGGGGTTGTCACTGTATCTACCCAAGAAGCTGCCACCATACCTGGACACAACAGTTTCATCCGGTTTCATTCACCAAAGTTTTGGTTCAAACACTTCAAATCATTTCTCATCATCTCACAATCCCAACTTCATGTTTTCACTCCTTTTTCTTCTTCAGCGAAGTTTGATGCCTACGGATGAGTGCTTTGGACTTCAAAAAGTAGCGTTCAATAACCCGTCTGGAAATGGTACGAGTTGACACACTCCTCCCCAGCTTGCAGACACGACCGACGTGGTCCTCGTTCCCCTCGCAATTGTAAGCCATTGGGGACAAGCAAAAACGCTTGCCCGACAAGATCTCCATTCTGAGTTGGTATGCCACATGCTTTAAGCAATGAAACTTGGGTTTCAAACTGAATCCCGCAATTCGCAGGCTCAACATCTTTCGAGCTAGCCAATGATAAGATCTTGCAATTGTGAGAATCAATTGGTGCAGCCTCTGTGCACAAGACCGCTCAAGAAAGAGGCCATGTGTCTGACAAATCCTGTGGAAGGTGATGATGTCACTGGTTAACTGGTGCATGACTTTGAAAATAGGTTTGTGCTCCGGATCCTCCAAGTCACGTGTTTGCAAAATGCATGGCACATGGAAGTTAAGCCATTGAAGAAGCAGTGTCACGTCGCTTCCCTTTGCATTTGCCCATGGACTTTGAGCTGCCGCCTTACAGTTAAAAAACGATCGTGAAAAGGATCGCAAACCTGGGCACCGCCGCTCTGCGGCGCACCAGAGCTTGAATGCGCCACAGGCTCGCTTCAATCGTTCATCAACGTTTTGTGACTCAGCAGGATCAAAATCGAAGTAGTTGAGCCGGCAAAGTGCCAAGATTATGCTTCCCACAACGTCCCTGCTGAATCCGACCTTCATGATGTGAAAGGGGTCTAGTTTTAGTGAGAACTCTGGCGCACATGAATCAAACGGAATCTTTGCGACAAATGGATCAGATGTCCATGGCCGATCTCGGTACATGGTGCTTGTCCAGGCCGGACACTCAGAGACCTCCTCAAAAGGAAAATTGGCACTTCCTGCCCCGCAAAATGAACACATTTTCAGCAAATTTTTCTTCCCCAAGTTCGCATAGCACCGGGTCAACCCAACAGTCACCTCCTTGTGGAACTTCAAGTCTCCCTTCAACCCCACAAAGGCACCGAAATAAACTTGGTTGTCCACCATGATGCCATTTTCAAAAAAACTTGTTGCCTCCTCAGTCACAAGCTCCAAGTGTTTGTGCAAAATGTGATGTTTGCCTTCTTTGTACCAGGCATGCGGAAGGCCAAAAAGCAAGTAGCGTTTCAAGTAGCTGTGCCCACTCGCATTGTGGTTCATGCTCCGTGCGCAGCAGACATGGCTGGGATCCATGTCATCACAAATCTCACCAGCTGAAACCAGAAAGCGTGCATCCTTTGAAATCTCTTGCGAGCACGAGCAGGTAAAGCTTTCATCAAGCATATCCAGTCCCAAGGGTGTTTCAAACGAAAAATCCATGAAGGTAGCACGCTTTGGCCCTTTACCTTCATCTCCATGAAAGCAGTAAGGAATAACTTTGTCCAACTCATTTGCATGTTTCTCATAAACTGCGTGTCCAGGATGGTGGCAGCGAAACGCTTCCCAAAAGGTTTTCAAACGATAGCCGATGTCCTTTCCAGTCCCACCACAAAGTAGAAATGGTGCCCTCTTCAAGAAGTAAGCACAGTAGTCAGTCATACGAACACAATGTGATACAATTGGACCAGTTTCTGTTTCATGAACAATTTCCTGGATTGGGAGTGGAAGGGATAAGCCCATACGGATAAACATCCGGTGACAATCCCTCTCAGCATTGTCTGCTTGCCGTACATCCGGCTCAACCCGTTGTTTCTTGGCACCAGTGATGGGTTCCAACGAGCCAGCTTTAATGGCACGCTTCACATCCACGGCTGGCACCTTGGCAGCCGCATGCGGGCTAACAGGAGTTGAGGAAAAAGGGCTGGACCATGTTGGGTCCATGATTTCTTTTGGTGGATTGTTTGTGGGATAGGAGTGAAACAAACACAGTTCAGATCATAAGCCATTGCAATTTATGTTGTTTTTTTTTTAAACTCTTCTCCAAGCAGAATTCCACGAACCCACCTAAGGTCCCAGCCCCGTCCCCCAGGCATTCAGCCATGTGCTGTTTCAATTCCTGTCGGTCAGGTCGAGGTTGTTCACCTGGCCTGACCCAGATTTTTTGCAAGTTGTTTGGTTTATGAATGAAAACTGTTTGGTAATGATCCATCTGTTTTGGATGCAGGCTTTTGAGGGATGCTAACTGATGGTGGTGTAGCTCGAAAATAGTTCAAGATAAAAATACAATTGCTGGCTACTTCAGAAGCCCCTGATTTGAAAGACTTTTTTCATCAGCGGTGATTCGATTCTGGCATCCAGCATCAACGAAAGCTCTAAGTATGAAGTAGTGCAAACCCCATCGTTTGCACAGCACACTGTGGATAGCAAGTGCTGGAGCAAATCATTTCCCAAATCTACACTGAGGAGCTTTACTGCCTGGCCCGTTTCTTGGCCGATGCAGCAATTGGGGGCTCAGCAGGGCGTCTCTTGGGGTCAGCTTTGGGAACCGCCTTTGCTTTCACTTGGGCTTTTGCCTTTGCACCAGCTTTTGGTGCCGCTTTCACGGCCGGCTGCACCATCCTGAGAATGGAAAGTTTTCAAATCTAATCTAAATATGATCAGCAAATTTGTTCTATTGCAACATTCCCTGGTGGAAATTTATTTAACTATGCAACAAGTTTTTTCTTGAGCTCCAGACTTGGCACGCTTCTCCAAGCAAACGCCAGCGCAAGCCCTTGGTAGGCACCAGAAATATATAGTATAATAGTAGTAATATATATATATATATACATATATGTATATATATATACATATATTGTATATATGTATTAAACTATATCAACGTATATATATATACATTATATTTTTAAATTATATATATTGAATTATATTGTAAATAAATATTCAATATCCAATACATTAAATATACAATATATATAATATATGATATTTAATATGTATTTTATAGATGGGATATATTTAAATATTATATATATACATAATAATAGATAAACATATATATATATATATACATAATGTAACATTTATACATGTATATATATGACATATTTATATATATATATATATATAAAAATTATAATTTATATTCTACATTTTATATATATTATATGTACTGTATTTTTTACATATTATATATTATACAATGTATATTAAATATATTGTATTAAATTCCATTTTAGAATATATATATATTTTATCTTATTTTTAATATTATATAAATATGCTGTATGTATATATTATATGTACATATTACTTTATATATATATATACTATATATATATAGTATATAGAGGTGGTTCAATACCCAAACATGGCTTCCAACAAGTCAAAACTATTTGACCCAACCTAGATTCAACAGCTTGAAACCATTTCCCTGGATTGAGGTAATGGCTCCTTCTTTGCCTTCTCGAAGAGGCTTTTCAACTCCGCTTGCATCCTGAATGCAGTGTTTCTGGGCAGCAAAGACACATTGGCTGGGGGAATCACAGTGGATAAGACTATTTTTCTAATTTCCATGAGTGTTTAGCCCCCCATGCGATTCCAAAATATTTTCGAACAAGAATCTCCGGGGAAAATCCTTCGCCAATCCCTTTGGTGTATGTGTCATTCACTTCGTTGTCAATCTTCGTGAGCTCAGTCTCAGCACTTTTCAGCTTTGTCAGGATCCTGGGCTAACAAACCCAAGCAGGTTAAAGAAACAAACGGTGAACCAACAACCCCAACCAAGTTTCAAAAGAGTTGGCCTTTCAGGATCCTTCAGGCCAGGGTATTTGGTAATCCCAAGGGTTGACACAACTCATCCAGTACATTCCATTACTTTAACATACGGCAACAACATGGTATCCATAATATTCTTGGCATAGGCAAGTTTAAACTTCTGGTTGTCGGAAAGGTTACCATCAAATTTCTTGATGAACTCTTGCAACTTCCCAATCCTTTTCTGCAAGCATTTGGAAACTTTGGGCGCCATGGCTGGTGCCTTCCCCACAGTCTCAATCTCCGGAAAGTTGAGAAGCTTCAGAATTTCTTTCTGGGCCTCGTCAGCTGCTATCTGAGCAGCAGCTATGTTGGGGTCATGGCCATCACCTCAAGCACAGGGAGTAGAAATTGAAGAGACCAGGGGAGTTTGAAAGTTTGGAAAAAACATCGCTGTCATTGTCTATCATTGGTGTAAGAGTCATTCCAATAAGAAACCTAGCAAACAAGTCAAGTCACCATCTTCCATCGGGATATCAGGAACTAGGCCATCAAAGTCAGGCATGTCTGGGAGGTCTCCTTCTTCGCATTCCTCTTGGTCATTCCACATCTCTTCATACATATCTCGGTGGTTTTCCTAAGGGGACAGGAATTGAGGAGAACACAGCACATATATTGTACTGAAGATAGTTCGTAACACCAGACCGCAACAAGTTGGACCCTAGTATTATACCATCCAGATTCAGTATTCAGATACCAGCCCATCTAGTGTTAAAACCTGAGACCTTTAGTCAGTATTATATCATAAACTCAGCAGCAAACCAAGCATCGAGTGAGAGCCGCCCACTTTGGTTTCAACCCAGTACAGCATGCCTTCCCCATATTTGGACATCCTTGGTGCCAATGCCATAGTTTTGGAA